GTCCCATAGACTTGTGAGGATCCAAGCAGCTAAGCAGATCTCTAACCATTTCCTCTCAGATTTCAGGGGAGCTATTTGGCTTTCTATCTCTATCAGCTCTAGTGTCCAGTTGTCCTGAGGACAATCTGTCCTAGTATTAGAAACAGAAGCAAAGAAGGTATTAAGTACCTCAGCCTTTTTTTCATCTTGGGTCACTCTGTTCCCTCCCATGTCCAACAAGGAATGGAGGTTCTCCTTGCCCTTCCTTTTGTTACTGATTTAAAGAAATACTGTGCCTTTGTCTAATTTTCTTCCTACATGACCTGATTGTATTTCTGAGTAGCCTGCCCTTTTTTCCACAGTTGGTAAACTCTCCTTTTTTTCGTAATTTCCTATAAAGTCTTCCTGTTCAGCCAGGACGGGCACCTTCCCCACTGGCTCACCTTACGGCACACCAGGACAGCTGCTCCTGCGCCTTCAATACTTCCTTCTTGAAGTATGTCCATCCCTCCTGGACCCCCTTTTTTTTTTCCAAGGGCTGTTTCCCAAGGTACACTTCAAACCAGACTCTTGAGCAGGCCAACGTCTGCTCTTCGGAAGTCTAGGCTAGAAGTTTTATTGGTGGCCCTTCTTGCATCCCTGAGGATCGAGAACTCTACAATTTTATGGGCACCTCCAAACAGCCTCCAACCACCACATCTCCCACCAGTCCTTCTCTGTTTGCAAACAGCAGGTCTAGCAGGGCCCCACACCCCTGGCAGGCTCATCTACCAGCTGGAGTAGAAAACTGTCCTCTATGCACTCCCTCTTGATATTTTACTCATTAGTTTTTACATATCTGTTGATTTAAGCCATACATGCTCTGTGATGAACTATTCAGTAAGCAAACTAGCTAAGCAGGAACTGTTGGTCTTTGCTATCCGACATTCCTGTGATGAATCCAGTTCTGAACACCATTTTTCAGCACTACACCTTCCTTGTCTACAGTCACATTAAAATTTTCAGCTACCTGCATAGAACAGTATCCCAAAGGAAAAAAAATTTAGGTGGCAAGACAGTATAAAATAAATCAGAGGATAAATTAGCACAGTAATTTGACAGTGTGCATGTTTGCCATACCTCTGCTTGGGGTGGGAAGACCAAAAAGTACAATACCATCTTTTTGGTTTCCAAATGTTCTGTATTTCAACGTTACATACAGCTGAAGGACTCATTTCCTGCCTTCCAATTTGTTACCATGAACAGTGAATTATGAATAAAGTGCTTAACTCCTTCACCAACTCCTGGGAAAGGCTATGTTTTCAAGGCATGCTACTAGATAGGGTTACCACATGTCTTAAATTTGAGTCAATAGCTATTTTCTCCCTTCTTCTAGACAGTAAAGTAGTAGTCAAAATACTGAGCTGTGGCCTACCACCATTAGGCAGTATCACACATGTGAAACAGGCTCTTTGTGATCGTTCCCCCCACCCCAGCCTGACTTGTGCTCTGCTTTTGTCTGCCTTCTCAAGCTTTTTTCAGTCAAACCAACAGCTGAGGGACCTCCGTATTTGCATGAAATTAGTTTAACTCTGCCCTGTAAGGCAATCTTATCCCCTTGGCTTTCTGAATTTGTTTCAATCAGTTTCTGTAAATATCCACAGGATTTGTGCCTGTACTGCTTGTATTGATCTTCCCACACCTACAACAGACATTTTACAGGACACTCTTTATGTACACCTCTACCTTGGCCTTGCAAAGGGCTTCTCTTGCATGCATCCCATTTCCACTGTGTATAACTTTCACACTTAGTATCACATTAAGTCATTTTTCCTTGCATGCTCTGTACTTCCAAGTTTTTGGCTATTCGAGCATTCCACCTATCTTAAATTTCTTTCCACATTCCTCTTTGGATTCTAAGTTTATTAAATGAGCTCCGTGATTCTGAGGAGATAATGGACTCATGCACTCTTAACTTTGAGAAATGAATGCATGAATCCTCTATGCATTTCCTTCCCAGCTGTATGGACAGATACCCTTTAACCACACAAATTAAAGCAGCTTTCAGAATTGGCTGGTTTAATTTCCACGAGGCAATTAACACCTCTGCTTCTTCTGCCTGCTCACCTGTATGCCTTATTTTCCTTAAGCCTTCATGCTAGAAACACTGTGCCATTAAGCTTTAATCATACATTTGGAATGAACATGGCTTTTCAGATAAACTGGTACTTCGGGAATTTTGTAGCAACCTTTCTGGACTCAAGATCTGCCGAGCTCCTATTATTCCTCTGTGAGTTTTGTCTAAAAAATGTGCTTTGTCTTTATCAAGGTCATGTTCTTCTATAGTAATTTGAGACTGCTTCATTATTAAGGCCAACTGGGAAACAAACTGATGCTTCTTCATGTAGCGCTTCTTTACACCACTCCTTGTCTGATACTTTTCTCCACAACATTGAATCAGGCACCTGTAAAAGAGAATGCATTGGGATCAGAATGTAGAGCTATCTTTAATCTAGAATACTGCTAATGTTTTTCAACATGTTTAGCTTCAAATATGCAAGGAAAGACAGATTACATTATGCCCTTGTTTTATGAAAAGCCTTTTGCATTAGAGCTGCCTACAAATTCTCACCAACTCTTTCTTATTCTAAACATTATGTCCATTTAAGCTTCCAATTTAGCACAGTATTGTGCTTTAAATGTCAAAGTTTTGGCATTCTGCAATGGCTTTGAAGTTGTGTCTGTCTTACCTATTCCATTAGGTTGCCTGTTTTCAAAGACCATTTTCTGATTGGTATTTACCTCCAAAGAAACCAACGCAGAAAGACTGTAAGACTTACTTTCATCATCCGAATCGAATCCAAAGAGCGTCTGACACTTCTTTTGTGCAAGGTGAGCCTCAAGTGCTTCTGAATTACAGTAGATGGTCAAGCAGTTGCCACATCTAAATCTTTCAGTTGATTTGCTACAAATTTTATCTTGTTCAGAATAAGCATCTACTTCATCAGCCAAAATTTTTCTACGTTTTGGCATGCTAATGTATCGTTCATCAAGATAACTTGGAGGCAATGGTCTAACATAGGGTTTTGTTAAGATGACACCATATGAAGTAGTCTCTGTTGTCTGATTTGGTTTAGAAGGTAGTTGTGAGGCAGCAGCAGCATTAGCATTATTTTGTGGTGCATCATGACAATTCTGTAAAACTGGTAACACTGACCCATTTTCTGTCCTTGCTTCATCTGCTACTCTGTCCAAAGGTATTTCTGATGACTTTGATGACATCTGATCTAGGTCACTGTGCCCATTGACTAATTGGTCACTAACAACATTACAGTTTTCAGAATTTGGCTGCAACACAGGTGTCTTTTGGTCTGTTGAACTTAAAACTGTAGTGCTACCCTCAGATGAACTTTCATTTCCATTGTGAATTACATTATTTGCTTTCTTCTCCACACTTTGAATATATGTCTTTGGTTCTGTAGAATCCTTCCTTGACTTCCAAGTTGGAATTGGTAAATCTACAGTTTCTTTTTCATTAATAGATTCATCATCATCTTGGTAGCTACAGAGTTCTGAAGGATCATCTGAAGAATCTTTTTCACTTGCATCTTCTGAACATTCTGGTGTTTTATTTAAATAGTGCTGAGCCTCATGTTGATACAGCAAAGGCAGCTCCTCAAATAGCTCACAACAGTCTGAAAAATTGCACTGAGCTTTAAACGTACTATGACTTTTTGTATGTTCTGCAAGCTCAGCTGACAGCTTAAATCTCTGATTACAATCAAAGTGTAAACAAAAGTAAACATTTGGATACACATGTCTCTTCAGGTGGTCTATAAAATGTTGGGAATCAGCAAATTTTCTCTGGCAGAACCGGCATTTTCCTTTATTCCATTTCATTATGTGCTGCTGCACTTTCAGATCAGTTGGATGAGTTTTCCTTGCATGTTTATTGAGGAATCTTATCTTTTTAAACACTCTAGTGCAACCATTAGCAGGGCACTTAAAGGTTCCTTCTTCATCCAAAGCATCAATGTCTTTTTCAGGGCAAAATGCTCCATTTACTTTATGCAGAACAGGTGACTCTTTATTGGAGCTCTCATCATCTTCAGGCAAACTTTCTGTACTTAAAGCATCCAGAACATTATTAAAACAGCTGTCACTACTATTTTCAGTAGCGTCATCCTGGTCACTTAGATGGTTTTCTACCACATCTAAAACCTGTTCTGCCGTCTCCTCCTCCTCTTGGACCACTTGGTCAGCACTTGGAGCTACTGCAGCCTCTGGTTCAGTATTTTTGGAATCATCAGAATTCCCATTTTCTAGTGCCTGAGGAACATTAGAACATTCTACTTCATTAGGAGCAGGAGCTTGCTGACCAGCCTCAAGTGCAGCAAGATGTTGCCTTTCTATCTTCCTGACATGGTTCCTTAGGTGCTTCAGCATAAGGGCTTTTTGCCTGAACTTTCTGGTGCAAAGTACACAGGAAAAACTGCCCTTTTTTTGGTGAGCTTGTGCGTGTTTCACAATGTGACCACCAAGAAATTCCTTGTTACATATCACACAGCGGTGCCTTGGTTCAGTTAGATCTGATACTTTAGATTCCTCACTTGCTTCGTGGTTCTTTTTGGTGTTACCTTTGGACTGGGTTTCAGAACAGTTTTCAGGATCAAGCTCCCCATTGCTCACATCTGTTGAGCAGACACGCTCCTCACTCAGAGCCCTATACTCTGTTATCTTCTCTGTATTTCCAGTAGAGTTTTCCAGAGTACTTTCACTTAAGCCATCAAAAGCTTTATCACCCAATAGTGCTAAACAATTCTGCTTGATCATCAAGAAATTCCAAAACTCAGGGTCAAAAAACAACCCTTTTTTCAAAATTGGAAGCAATTCAAAACGTACACGGTTTTGAACAGAACTACTGCACTCATTGTATTCTTCATCTGCACATTTATACAAGTGCTCAACAGTATAGTAAGATTCCAAGGTGCGCTCAAGAAAAAAGATCGAAAGAGCACAAATTCTGAGGATCTCCAGGTCATTTGGCAGAAAATGAGCAATTGCTTTATAAATAAGACTTTTCATGTTGGGATCTTCACGGAGGTCCAACTGTAGGGCACAGCCACATATCTCAACACATATCTGAAGACCATCTTCACCAACCTGAAGAAAGAAAATGATAGTGTGCATAATTATAAATGGTATTTTCCTTATGGGTTCAGAAGTCTACAGCTTGATAGTAAAATGAAAATTATCAGACCCACAGAAAATAAACCCCAGCTAGTATAAACAACGCCCAAACACCAACAGCCCATGTATTTATATTCATCTACTTGCAAAACAGGAGTTCAGAAAGCTCCTGCTAGCAAACTTCTAAAGGCATATACATTATTTAATAATGCTCAAACAAGACTATAAATACAGATTCAAAAATAACATCTGGTTTGCACTGAAAACCATACCGCTATGGTCAACAAAGCTCCAGATACTTTTGTCCCATGCAGTTCTGTAATTAAAAACAATTACTTATTTGGGGATATAAACCAAGACTGCAAGAAAACGTATCTGACTTAGCAGTATCTTCTGCCTGCTTCTTCACTGCCTAGGCTGTTCCACAGTATAACTGGACAGTTATTCTGTATTTTGCCTGTGTTCTAACTTGTTTTAGGTTGCATTGCATAAAAATGAGGGTAATGTAGTTTGCCATTTTGAACCACCACCACCAGGGAAACCATAATAACCCACGGCCAAGCATTCTAAAAGGCTTCACTTTTCAGAAGTGACAAACCATCCTTCCAATAATCAGAATTCCTATTCCACACTTTAGGCTAGGGGCCCTGCCATGAACATGCAACTCGGAAGGAAAATTAGAAAAACACTTCCCAAGGGGCAGCAGATTAATGCAAAAACAGTTTCAGGAAATGTAGCAATAAGTAATACCTATCTATATATAGGTATGTGTTAACAAAATCAAACAATGCTCCACATGTAGTGGGTTACTAAAAAATATGACTATTCAGATGCAAATAGAAGTCATAATGTCACCACAAGCAATTTAGACTACATACTGAGATTAAACTCTTGGACAGCAGCAAATTATTGCATTCAGATCTGCACAGTAGCACCCATGTCAAAATAATTCATAATTCATTTAGGGCATAAAATATGAAGGAGCTCTGTTCAGTCAGGTTAATGATAAAAACACATTTGTTGGGAAGCAACTCACGCTCCTGTGTGTGTGAAGCATTGCACATGGCATCTTTTGCAGGTGTTTGTATGGGGCAGAACAAGACCAGCATCTGAAGCATGAAATACAGTGCAATTTTCTGAAGCAAAATAATGTCTTCTGTATCAGTCTAGCTTTACTTTATATTAAGCATTTTTTTTCCAGATTTGACTAACTGGTAAAAGGATTCAGAATTTAATGAGGATGAAGGGTGGCTACAATTACACAAGTCCTATTTCCTTAAGAAGCCAGGCTGAAATAAAAAACACACCAACCTTTATTCCATGTACTTATTAATTTCCCACTTAGAGAATGATGTTCCTCAAACTTACTGCAAACAAACTCAGGATTCAATTAAAAAATAATCTTAAAAAACCACAACTAATCAAGAGCAATCATAATATTGAAGCACATTCTGGAAATTAACAAAATTTAAGATAATGCTGTGTCCTTCCCTACCCTCTCTTTTTCATCTTTCCACAAAACATGTTTATTACACAATATAGACATCACTTTAACTAGGTACCAAAAAAATGGTGGATGAGATAAAAACAAACAAAACTTACTTCATCCTTAATGACTTTCATGAAAGGGAAAATTACTCTGACATTTGTAGCAATTCTCAAAAGCTGGTAACACTGGTCAACAAATACTTGTTTTGATGGGTTAGATTTAAGCTGAAGTTTACTCCAAATGAAGATCAGGTCCCTATTAAGTACACAATAAAATATTCCAATTAGCTTGAGTTTTAGAACTCTATCACTAAGCATGATGGGTTAATAAAGACAATTTGCATATTCTGTAACCAAAATCATATTTGAGGATGTAATACCAATCTAATTAACACCACAACTGTACACAATGTCCACAATGGAAAACGCAACTTAATTACTCGGTTAAAGCATTCAGGGTATCTCCTATCACTAAGCCAATTAAATATTCAACAAAATATTAATGTATTCAGCTTAGTTTCAGAGAACTGCATAATAAAATCAGATGGTACAGCATCTAGCCCTTAACACCACAGGCAATAAATGCCAGGTTGAACAGCAAGCTGTGTGTGCTCTTGGGATTAAGTTACTTTAAGCGCAAAGATGAAGAATCCTTCAGGACAAGAAGTGTTTGAATGTGGAAAATGGAATCATTGTAGAAAACTAGCTTCTGATGTGGTCCAGTGACAGGAAATACTGCTGTTCTCCAGTTATGCATATCACAAGACAATTTTCTGCCAAGAGCAGTTACATGAAAGTATTGGGCTCTACAGCTATTCATACATGTCTATGACCTTCAGACAAATAACATTTCTTCCTGAAACAAGAAAACATAAGAACTGATTGCTAGACCCTGCAGCAGAGCTCCTACACAGGTAAGGTACTTATCCTGTAAAATATAGCCAATTGAAATTTACAGCCTCTGAATTAAAGTTCTGTGCACTTTAATTCAGAGACTCAAAAAGGCAACTGGACTTTAAGTCTTAAGAAGATTTACCAGCACAAAGACTTCACACAGGAATAGATACAGTTAGGACTTGGTGGAAATTCCACCACAGCATTACAATGAAAACAGGGGACCAATAGACTTCCATTTTCTGAAGGAAGACACTTTTCTGTTCCACCAGTCTCCTCCCTCAGAAAACAAACCTATTCACTGACTAAGCATTTGGCTGATCTTCCAGAGTGTCTAGTCTGTGCCAGATAAAAGTTGGACAAACCTTCTGAGATTAAACTTCTCTTAGTGAGGTTAGTGTCTGCATGAAGCGAAGTGACAGAATTGCCTATGATAAAATACCAACTTCACTTTTAAATTTAGGACAGTTCTACAATTCTGCTTGACATTTTAAGAGCTAGACAAGAGAGCTGGATTGTTTTCTTGCATTCAGAGCCTAAGAAAGCTAAAACTGAAAGATAGATCAAGCCTATATGGAAGAAACTGTGAAAGGGGAGACCTAGAAGCAGCTCTACCCACAAAAATCAAGTCTTACAGGTTTTTGCAAGATACAAGCTGTTCATCTCTACCTTCACCAGGCTGGAAATCTGCATTCTACATATTTACAAACTTCACATACAAATTTGAAACTAGTGCCTTCTTGCACCAAAATATTCATAACAACTTAGTAAAAGTCTCAACCAGAAGTACAAAAGAACTATCTTTGCTGCTGTATGTTACCACAACTGAATAATTCAGCTTATTCTCTCTTTGCCTCATACCATTTCAGAGCAAGCCACTTCAGCACTAGCCCCAGAGAATTTGAGAGAACTCAAGTTGTTCTTCTGGGAGATTAGTGGTTAAAGTGGCTTCCCATGTGTTTAGAGAAGTGTGATGGATTGCACAAGGAAAGAGCCGAAAAAGGAATGGAGAGAACTGAAAGTGGAAGGAACAGCTCCATGGGTGAAAAACATTTGACTAGACTCTGATGTGAAACAGCATTTTAATCTTTTAGTCTTATATCTCTATGTAGACACAGTGGCTTCTCCTTCTCAAGTACATGTCTAACTTTGATAATCATTAAGGATTAAAACATTCCTTAAGAGCTAATTGGACTCTTTCAACCACTTAAATGCTTTGGAAACCAACTTGAATGCTGAAGTCAGTAGCACTTGAAATATTTCAGTGTCAGTGACCAGAACAGAGATGATAAACTTGAGATAACATAGGCAAGGGATAGTTTTCTATTTGCACAATTATTATGGCAGTACTTACTGGCCTTTGCTTCTTGGATGGTATAACCTAGTTCACACTGAGGCCTGTGTTTAAGCTATGATGGACTTGTGTCAGGGCAATTTAGATTGTTACTACGAGAATACAGAACTCAGTACCTGTTTAGCAGAGGCAATCACATGTTCCATCCTCTTAACTACCTACCAAATGCCAAAACCATTGTGTGCCTCCATCAGCAACATAAGGGGTAAACCCACCCTACCTTAGCTAGATCTAAACCCTTTGCTACTGTTGATAAGTGGAAGGTCTACCTTGGGTACAGAGAGGATATTTTACTAAAAGCTTATCTAAGCCACAAAAATTACCTAAAGGCAAAAGACTGATCAAACATGGGAAAAATTCCTTGACTTACTCAAATTACTGCAAAGGAATCACTCAAAACATCAAAAAATTGCCTAGCAGAGAAGAAAAGCCTTTCTGCTATGCCTGTACCATCAAAATGCTGTTTGTCTTCCTGAAGAGACATCACTTTGATCCTAAATCATTATGGACTGATCTCTTACTAATACCTCATAGAAAAATACTTCTGGTAAGACCAAGCCCAGCTCGCTTTGTGATTATTTCCTAAGTGGGCTTTCATGTCAGAAAAATAATTCAGTTCATCTGAATCTAGAATTTATTGTTAATGTCAGTGAAAATAAGAGTTTTGTGACAGAGCTGCTCAAAGTTCACCTGCCTCTGACTTGACAGCTAATGGTTTCAGCCTGAAGATTTTCTACAGGCTGCTTCACATGAAGCAGGAGCAAATAACTGCTATATACAGCTTTCTAACCTATTTTGATGTGTTATCTTTGCTAGTAGAATTGTCTGCTAGATCTGACAAGGTGAGATGATTTATGCTCTGCTTAAGACATTAAAATCTTCTCTATGGAAAAAATACACTCTGTGGGTTAATTTAACCTGGCTCCTACTTTAAAAAATCTGAATTACAGTATAGGGATGCCTTCACAAGCTTTGTTGCAGTTCATGGGATCTATTAAGCATGATGCAGAATTCTCTTGTTGGTTACACAGTTGTTAAGGCTCAGCATCTGTAAAGAATGAAACAGCTGTTTGAGCTGCACAGAACTTATCTGAACTCTTTCAAAGACCCTCAACTTGTATATTCTGAACAGAAGATTAAAATACTAAGAGATGTCAAGACGGTTTCCTTGAAAAACAGGTATCAGACAGTACATGAGTCTCTTCTGGAATTTCATCTTTGACATGCACTTTTCCAGAACATAAGGAGAGGCACCTTGCTTTAAACAGCAACTTCAAAAAATGGATGATGCACAACTTAAATGATCAGCTGTGTAAGAGCAAGGATAACATGTTACTACAGGAAAAGATATAAAAGGGAAGTTTAATTCCAATATTATAAGTGCATTTCTTAAAAGGCTGAATCCCTAAACAGAAAGGACTAACCATATAGCTAATACATGTAGGTTACACCTGGCAAGAAGTCAGGAGATGCACCATTGGGGCAGGAATCAGAAAAGACAGATTCCATTCCAAAGTTGTTCACTGGGCTTCAACAAACTATGTACCTTTAGTCAAGCTTCCTCTGTCCTATGGGGACAGTCATGTCCACCTTTTTCTGGACAGACAGAATGACACACATTTATAGTACAATGTATCAGCAATAGCTAGCGTCATTTTTCAATCTTAATCCCAAAGGTTTGGACTGAACACAATTATTCATGCAATACTTAAGGAAAAAATTAAGAACAAACCAAATATTATCATATCTGACCTTCATTACTTCCTCAAGATAAAAATACTTTTCAATTCCCTGAAATCAAGGAACACAGAAATCCTATATAGATTTTAAACTCCATATTAAAATTAGTTATGCAGATTAATAATTTGATATCTACTGATGGAAGAAAAATCAAACCCTTGCTAAACTGGTTTGCTTCAACTGCATAGTCAGACAAAGCATACTTTATCAAGGAATGCAGATGTTCCTTTAGGTACAGAAATTATATGGGCTAAACAGAAGGATTATCTTCCTTAGCCATCTTTCAGTTCTCACAATGATGAAAATTGTTGACAACTCTCTAGAAAACACTTCTTAGCCCTAATAACATTCAAATATGATGATGGTTCATTGTGTATGAAGACATTCTTTCTTAAATGCTTTCTGGGGGATAACCATTTAGGTTATGGCTCTGTTTATGATGTAAGTCTCCATAATTAAGAGCACATTTTCAGAACCATATTCTCTTTTTGGACGCATTCATGACATACTACAGTTACAGAGCAAAATATCTGCATTGCTAGAGAGTCTACAGACTGCATATTGTTACACACTGCTAATAATAAATGCTGCATTTCTAGGTATTTATAGCCTAAGGTATGTCAAAGCTCACTCTTGTGTTACTTTCAAACAGTCAGCAAGTGTTATGTACTCTCTAGGCTACCACTGTGCATAAACATGTATAAAAAGGCAAACAGGCATAGCAGATGTACCAAGAACGTTTAAAAATGATGTTAGAATGTTTTTATCTGGTATTTTAAACTACATCTCAAAGCTAGATGAGTTTCATTTCGGCAATAAGCATTTATTACATGCTAAGCTGCTTCACCAGAAAGAAAGTATTTACCATATACAATACATGTCCCCATTTTGAAGCTGTGGGACTAGGAACGATTCACACAGCTGTAAGGCTAAGGTAGTCTTCCCTTCTTTTTCAGTGTTGCAGATGATCTCAATTCCACTCTTGCAATCAGTCCTCAACAAATGCTATACAATTAAAATAAAATCAATTTAGATCAATTTGCTAACATGAAATAAAAAAAACGATCAGACCTTGCTGTCCTAAAGCAGCTACTGAAAACTTCAGGAATTGCTAATTAACAGGATGTCTTTGGAATAGCTTTTGTGTAGGTGTGCAAATAATAAGATTTTGGAGATATGTAGAGCTCTTTCATATTTTTTAGACTAATGACCATCAGAATAACTGCTTGAGAAAATTAAAAAGACTACACAAAAGCATTTTTCTGCATGATGGTAACCTGTTCTTAAAACAAGGTTAAGAAAAGCACTGTTGACCTAGTAAGTGCTATCAGTGTTAAAAGTAGGGCCACATTCAGCTCAAGTGTCACTTTGCACACTGGGGCATCATTATCAAAACTTTAAGGCTAACAAAACTATATAATGTACAGAACACTGGATGGACATCAATTAGGCTCAAGTGCTTTTGCTAAAATAATAGTCAATAGTAAAATAGCCAATACACAGCAGTTAAAAATATTAATGACTCAAGTTATTTAGGGAATATATCTACAAGTACACTTGACCAAAACATTACATTTAGGTCAACAAGATTTGCTGGCACTTTACATTTAACTTTTCAAAGCTTAAGGCAGCACTAAGTTAAGCAACACCAGTGTAGTTGCCTGATTTTATGACATTCGGTTCTACAAAAACAGAGTTCCATATGCTCTTCTTGACAACTTGTATACAGCAAGTATAAAGTACCACTTAATTTAAAAAAATGTATACTGGCAAACAATACCTCCTGGAATAGCTGATCTTCTAATGGTGACATATAAAGACAGGTGAAAAGCGCTTGATGGAAATACAGATCTTTACTGATATCTGGATGATTTATGCAAGATTTGATAAGAGCCATTGCCTCAGGGATGCGTTCACAGGCAATAAGGTATCTGGCACGTAGTTCAAAGAACAGTGGATTTTCAGAGCTTAAATATTTGTTAACTGCACAGAAAAGAAAGATTTAAAGGCAATTAGAATATGAAGTCCAAATAACAAATATATTTAAATGTAATGTTGTTTTTAATCATTCAATGTCAACAAATAATATAAAAAATAAAGGCTCTGCTAAAGAATCTATCAAACATTACATACAATAAGAAATCTGTCCTTCTGCTTGGAAACAGAAATTGTTATTTTTCTTATACCAGTAATCTAATTCAGCATTTTCTTTCTAACAGATGAACACAAGGTGCTGCAAAGGATTAGCAAAATATATACTATATAGAAGCAGATGTGAACATTTTTGAGACAGAAAAATTCCCCCCTTTCTCAGCACTGGAATCTGGGTGATGGTCAGAAGTCTAGGATTGACATCACTCCCAAAGCTTTAATTATAAATATTTAAAACAACTCAGGATACTCATTACCCATTAAAATGTAAGACCTGGAATTGGCAAAAAAAAATTAAATACAATTCACATACTGTTGCCTTAAGTAGCTTTGAATGCCTTAATTTTGCTTACTGAAGTGGAAAATACACCTTTTTCTTTTTCTAAAAGTGCTACTGGGCACTCATATCTAAGTACCTTTAAACTTTAGCCCCAGATTTCTGGAAATTTGTTTTTCAGATCTAAAAGACAGTCTTAAAGCTAACATTTGAATGAAGTCATTTCAACTGAAATAGTCAAAATACTTAACATTTAAATAACTGAAAATTAAGAAACACCTAGAATATATGCTTTAGATCTCTACTATAAATGAGCAGCAAACAAACTAGTATCTTTTCAGATTAAAGTATCACTCAAGGCTACAAAATACAATAATTCTGCTTTTACTTTGAGAATTGTTTGCATCTTGTCAAGTAAATGCACAAACTGAGGTGCCAAAAGTGTGTTAACATTATGTAATGTAACAGACAACATGGCCTGATCTTCCTCTTACACTCAACAGTACCTTATGAGAGAGTTAAAACTCCCAAAATTCCTAGTGCATACAGTGCAGTAGTTCAGTGTTTTGTATTTTAAAGAAAAAATTAAAGAGACTGTTGATTTAAAGGCAGTGAAAGCTGGAATTGAGCATAGGAATTTATACTCTAGAAGGAATGTGTATTAAGAAAGTTATAAGCAACTTAAAGTGATAATTAAGAAATGGTTACTGAAAACCACAATCAGAACAACTAAGATAATTTTCTTCCCTCAAAAATAAAGAAACTACTTGTATAACAAACTTTCAGTTAAACTTTTTTAAGGATGCCTGGTTTGATTCCCTATGCTCAGGATTTCTCTAGCATCTCTATTTTTACACAAGCTAATGGTGTCACATGCCAATAAACACTTAAGGAACATTATTCAGGGTGTTAGGTTTCAGATTATATTTGTTAACAAATGCACCATAACATCTGCCGTAAGAAAAATAAATCTCATTCCCCCTATCCATTAGCACTTCTGAGTACAAACTCAGTAAACAAGATGACTAAAAGGGAAGCCAATATCTAACATTGGTCATTAACTGCAAGGAAAAGTGATTTTAAGCCCTTAAAGCCAAACAAAGGCTGTTCCTCTTTTGAATTACGGTACTTAGGATAATAAACCCCATCCTCGACTTCATACGCAAACATTACCCAACAGATTACTGAGTATTCCCATGGAAAAATTAGGCTAGAAATACATGGGGTTTATGTGCTAATGTTAAGAAAATGCTGCACACCTAACAACTGACTGTAATACCCTTTTCCCTCAAACAAGGGAAGACTGCAGTCCACACTAGAGGTTAACTTGTTGTATCATTCCCACTTCCTGTGTGGGGAATTCTTAGGTCAGTATACCCCTCTGCTCCACAAACCCTCTTCTGACAGCATGCTCTCCCAGTGAAGGGCATCTCCTACACCCTACCACACTGACAACACGAGGTTCTAAGGGCCGTGCGGTCCTAGAGTCTCCAAACGCTGTTTTTAAACAGACTGTGAGTTCCAGCTACACCACTGGTAGGACAGTGCTCCCTCCCTGTAGTGGAATGTCTTCTTTTCCCAAGGCAGCATGTATAGCTCCTCTAACACGCCCCCCCCCCCCCCCCCCCAAGAAAAAGACACCTGCTAACTATAGTAGCCAAGTCTGGGATGGCCTTGCGGAAACAGCTATTATGATGTATGCGGTGCTTTGCTTAGAGTGACAGATGCCAACCACTACCTTTGAAACTAATTAACTGCTTACATCTGAATCCACCTCTGTTATAATATTCTCCTCTACATGCTCACAGTAGGCCACCTTATCTCCCTAATCTATTAGAAGTTTCTTGCTCCTATGTTTCAACCCTACTATTTTTCCTTAAACCCAAAGACTGCCTTCCTTCCAGCCACCTCAAAATAGGATGCAACACCTCAAAGTATGCTACAACTCTCTGTAAAGACAGACACAGCGAGGTTTGTCTTGACCTAAGCTTCTCCATGTACTTAATGAATCCAGGCCAGGATTATGCAGTTCACACAATATATACTTAAACTGACTTCTGCAAGTCATGGTTGGTGATTCAGCAATAATATTTTTCCCCGTTTAAAATCATGATCCCTGAGGGAACTACATGGCCAAGTTTCAAAACATACACTAGTGTAAGACTTCACAAGAATCAGATTTTGGAGGAAGTGAGACCAGAAAGAATGAGCTTCCAAAATATATTGTCTAAAATGAAATGCTTGTCATCACAGATGAGATATGTTGCAGGGATGTGTGGGGTTATCAGAAGATGAAAGGGAAGAAAGTATCTCAGCAGAGGGGAAGGAAGTGCAGCCTGCAACCAAAGGAAACAAAGTGATCTAGTGACACCAGGCAGCCTTGTTCCTACTCTGCCAGGTTAAAACTAAGTAAACACCCTCAAACTGTTACCCATCATAGAGAGGCTTCATAATGCTCATGAGAATCATTATAAAAAAAGGACTAAACTAATTCTTTGTTGGAGAGACAGGAGACCTAACTTCACATCATAATCACCACAATCATGCAATGCAGAACAAAACAAGGTTAATCTTTGTTTTCATTTTGTTTAAGTATTTGACTAGAACTTTATCAGCTACATAATAAAAATCATGGGTAATAAGTTGCTCAAGCACTTGCTTCATAATAGAGACAAAACAAAAAAGACTACCCACTTACTCATGTTAATTTGCTATCAAAATACTTTTTCTGGTTAAGGAGGCAGGCTCACTGAGCTGTTCTGACTTTACAGTCCTCTTCACTCTCCACAGAATGAGCACTTTGTCATACACACAGTAATGAGTTTGTATCATGCACTACACCATCACTGTCAAAAAGAAACAACTTTTAAGAAATCCTCTGCGACCACTGCTGATAAATATGTAGCTTAAGATGTTAGTAAAGACTTTACTGTATATTGGATATTTTTCCTCTTACAAGCTTTCATTAATATTCCAGTGATTTTGTTTCCATGCACTGTATCTTTCTCCTCCTGCCAACTCTAGGAATTACATATACACCAACAGAAAACAGCTATCAGGTGTAGTCATGGGCATCGTTGTAAGCAGAACCAAGAAAACCCCAAGTATTTATGATTTAAAAGAGAAATTACATGAGGCAGAGTGCCATGAGACAAATGCACATCAGTTCCTCTCCTATCATGTTATTCCAGTAGCCTAACTGAAGACAAGTCAGTCTCCATGCTCTTACAGGGGTTGCACACCTCGATCTGGCAAACCCACTCTATCAATTTTATGAACTACTCAGCAGCCACCCGTGTCTGAACAATCTGATCTCTACAAAAACAAACTACAAGCAAAGAAATTTAGCTCTGTTGGAAAAAAAAAAGGGACCAGCACATTTTACTACAGAAACATAGTTAAACTGTGTGCAATGCCAGCTGACAACACCCAACCCCAATACTAAAAAATAAAAAAAAAAAAGGGGAGAAAAAAGGCATATTTTAACACATTTTTCAGTACTTCAGAAAATTTTTGTGGCAAACAAAGTACCTAATTCCTGTGACACGGGCTTTGCTTTGAGAATTGCTTGTAATACTGGATCCTCCCATGGTCCACCATCTCGAATGATTCGAGTCACTAGTTCCAGGTTCATATTTCTGTATTTATTTAGAAGGTTCTGACATTCCTACATGTAAAAAGAGAAGCAATTAGAAAAAAGAAAAGATGTTGTCTAACAATAGCTAGGCTATCCAAAAGATACAGAACAAGAAACCCATGCATGTTCAAGTATTTTCTCAGTCAGCAATTTGAGCTACAAAGTCTTTCACTGACCAGGCCTACACAAAGTCCTAAAGCAACAACTTGTATTATCTAAACACAGCAATACAGAACTGTTGAAGCCTGATTATTGAGGTCTTCTCTACGAACACAGCAAGGCCCTTCCATTTGCATAACAATGCAAAAAACACCTTTCCTCAGACTGGATTCTAGTGGCATACACAGGTCTTCACATTATGCCAGTCTGCACGGATTTAGACATGTTGATGCTGGATCTGTGATCCAGTGATGGTGTCTGAATTCCATGAGGGAAAAACTGAATGAAGCTATGTGAGTCACTAGCCCTCAAGAAACCATTTTTCTCCAGATCTCTACGAAACAGAAAATATGCTTGCCTATAGTAGTATGGAATGCTTTAGCCACCTATGATTCTCACATATGTCAAGAGTTCCCCCCACCTTCATGCCTTGCTATTGGCTGGTAAAAGTGTCAATATTAACATTAATCAACAGAAAAATCTTAATCATGAGAAAGTTATCAAATTTTGAAAAAAATGCAGCAGAAGAATGGTTTCTATGCACATACAATCACCCTTCTCACATATGCTTTTTTACTCCTAAGTTTTTTTCAATTTTTTTCTTTTATATTCAGATAAATATGCTTGATGGCAAAGAATGGTTAACTTCTATGCACATACAATCACCCTCCTCACATATGCTTTTTTACTCTAAGTTTTTTTCAATTTCTTTCTTTTATATTCAGATGAATATGCTTGATGGCAAAGAATGGTTAAGTAACTGAAATAATGGGTTTCAGTGCCAGTTTGATTACACAACTGATTCAGAAATTCTTTATTTAGAAAACTGTGTAAAGATACATTTTAACACATTCATTGTTTAAAAGTCAAGGCAAGTGAGAACTGTAATGCAAAAGCACAGAGAAGAAGGTATTACACATCATACTCTTCACTAGTCTTTCTTTTTCATAGACTGTTTTTGAAAAGCACTTATTGCTGGGCTGTCAAACTGTCCAATGGCTCTTATGCCAGAGACCTTACTCATTCCTGAGGCTGCTAAGCTACTGCTTGACCCCATTCTCCCACCAATTCTAACCAAGCAAGCAATGCCTGCTGGTTTGATAGTTAAGAGCTATTTCTCAAACTGCAGTTCCATGACCAGTATTAACAGAAGACACAACCCTGGTTTTCATCCTTTCTTTCCCTGCAAAGTTTCCTCTCATGGTGGCACAAGAGTTTGTGGTCCCATGTAGTGAACTCAACCCTCAAAATTCGTTCAGGTAAAAACAAAACAAATCCCACACTTTTTTGGCCAAAAAAAAAAAAAAAAAAAAAAAGGCAAGTTTTTAACCCAGGATCATTTCTCTTACGCACTTGTATATAGTCATACAAAACTGTCCCAATCGATCCGGTAATAGAACAGTTTAAACTATGCAGGTTTACACTGATCTGAAGACTTCATTGAGACAGAGCTTCAATTTCAAACTTGCTGTTTAAAACCGCAGAGGCGAAACATGAGGTTTCACGTCATGAACTGGAACATGACACTGGATGACATGAAGCTCTAAGCAGACATAAACAAGCAAAGCTTCCCTCCTCTACATGGGAAATGCACACAATATAACTAACAAGATTGGTACTACAAAAAGAAGTATATTCTGCCTAGTCCAAAGAGATTCAAATAGCAATATTGATGATAAATATAAGAATGAATGGTTCTCTTTAACTATTGCTCCCTCCACATTTTTTTGAGGGGGAGGGAGGGGGT